GCAGGTCTTCTGTCCCGGTTTGACGGGGCAGATTAATCTGTTGGTGTCTAAATTTCCCATAGTGTATGATTGCATGCATGTCTGATTAACCCCTGCTTTGTATCGTACCCCCCCCCCCCCGGACTACTATAGTTGCTTAAGACATCGTAAATTAGAAACGTATGGCTTGCATGCTGTTCATGCCTGCCATGAGATTTGGATGGAATTTGATTTCTGCTCGTCAGGTAGTGTAACATGCCTCTCACAACGCTTCCGCTGGTACCGCACCCTATTGAGGTTCACAGGCGAAAATCTCAGAGGAGTGAATGTTCTAGAAAAAAACGATTTAGCAGAACATTCTCTTCCTAAAACAAGTGAGGTTAAATTTGCCTCTGGTGTAACATTCTGTTATTTAGGCTCTCTGGAAGTGGCCAACGCCAAACAAAACCCACTGTAATTTTCATATTTTTGGAGTTTTACAAGATCTTTAATTCTTTTCTGGTCTGAATGTCGTCCCGAGTCAGTGAACGTTGTGCAACGCTTGTGTTTTGCTCCTTCTTAGTATTTGGAAGTTCTTCTGGAAAAAATGCAACATTTTTTTCTTATCAGTTTTTAAAAGCTTAAAATATTGCTGTGGCCTGCATCACTTTTATCGTATATCATCTAGTCAGCGGATTGCTCGCTCGGGTAGAGCAGTACAGAGTGAGGAAAGGGGGCGATTTATTTTCCAAATACTCCTCTGGTGTAATGATCAAAGTGTCTTGCCTCCAAATGTTTTATGACACTCGTCCAAGTCCGCTTCCTCCTGTCCTGTGTGCGCAGGCAGTAACTTCTGCCTGAGGGCATGTGAAATCTCTTCAAAATGTCTGCCTGTATTTTTTTTTCTTTTTTTTTTACAAATGGAAAGGTCGACATGGCCTTGCATTAAGGTGGTCCTCGTTGGGGTTCGGGTTGAATTCAGATGATCTTGCAGTGGCAAATCGGGACGCATCTTATACTCGAAGAGTAAATTTCCACAACTTGTTTACAGTCATTTTTGTGAGACCACTAAAGTCAGGCTTCCTCATAATATGTTAGTGTTGGGAACCAAAACTCACTCACTCCTCATGTAATCCAACAGAAAACTTTCGGTAACATTTTACTTAAAGCAGTCATGTATAATGCATTATAGATATAAAACTGCAGGTCTACATCCTCCTGTAAAGGGCCACACTTTCCTGTAAAGGGCCACAGTCTCCTGTAAAGGGCCACACTTTCCTGTAAAGGGCCACAGTCTCCTGTAAAGGGCCACACTTTCCTGTAAAGGGCCACAGTCTCCTGTAAAGGGCACTCCTACTAATTAATTCCCTTTCCCGAGTTTTGTCATCGATTTAAAACATTCAAAGAATCATCTGACTAAGCTGTCAGGTTGCTAATGTTTATTCTCTTCAGATTCTCTTACTTTGCCTTTAATAATGGGTTTAACAGCTTAATATATAAACCAGCTTAACGATGTGGCTGAGGTCAGGCTCACACTGGCCGTCGCCCAGGTACGACCGCAGAGGCTGTGCTGACACCCACAGAGGAATTTGGTTGCTCTCCTCTGGTCTGTAGGTCCTTCTCAGCTTCTCTCGCAGTGATTTTAGTCCGACCTTCTTAATGATGGTGATTTTCTGAGCAGCCAGGTGTTCTGAGCGTGACAGTTTGAGTGTTTAGATCTGCTCGGGTGCAAAGAGCGAAATGCAGACAGTGACGGGGCTTCCTCTTTCCAAGGCCTGAGCGTGACGGCTGGGTGTGTGTGGCGGAGGGGGGGGTCACAGTTGCCGTCTTTCCTGTGGGAGGGAGTTCACCCTCAGAGCTCTGTTTATGTGACACGCCACTCCTGTCCGTTTCAGCACCCTGGGTGAGAATCGCACGATAGTGTGACCCACAGCAGACGCTTCTCTGGGAGTCGCACGCGGTACCAGGCAGATCAGGAACCCATCAGGAACCCTTTGCTTGCCAGTCGAGTCCGTTTGCGAAGCGTAAGAAAAAAGGCGTAAAAAGACACTGGGCCCAGTTGTATTTTTGGCTATTTGGTTTCCTGTCACTATCACATGTATAAAGTAGAATAATCTTGCAAATTTGTTTGGAACTTTACCTGTTACCTCGTTGACTTTCAGTTTCAAATATTCAACAAAAACTTATAGAATACGTGCCTACAAAATGTACACAATTTTTTTCAGGGTGTGTGTACACAATATATACACTGACTGAATCTTTTCAGAGTTGGTGTACAGTATGTATACAGACGCTCCCCGAGTTACGATGGTCCATGTTACTGTATTTCGGCTTTACGGTAGGTAAAGGTTTTTCACTAAACTGCATGAGATATTCAACACTTTATTATAAAATAGGCTTTGTGCTAATGATTTTGCCCGACTGTAGGCTAATGTACTGTAAGTGTTCCAAGGTAGGCTAGGCCAGGCTATATCGGTTGTCAAGTTAGGTGTACTGTATTAGAAAGCATTTTCGCCTTACGATATTTTAACCTTGCGGTAGGTTTATCGGAACGTAACCCCATGGTAACCAGGGGAGAGGCTGTACACTGAAGTTTTGCAGTTGTCATATATTATTTTTCTCAGACGTGGTCATTCATTCCTTATGTCTTCCAGCTGGTTACGCAGTACAGGGTCACATCACACATGTCATTGTCATCAAATTATTTTGATCACAGTTGAGGCCTATTAACTTATCTGCAGACACTTGGCAGACATCATCAGGGAAACTAGGGTGTCGCCCATCTAACGAGCTGTTCCCAGGAAGGCTGGGACCTTTGGCTATAGCTTAGGGCCGCCTGTGCTATAGCTTAGGGCCGCCTGTGCTATAGCTTAGGGCCGCCTGTGCTATATCTTAGGACAGCCTGTGCTATATCTTCGGACAGCCTGTGCTATAGCTTAGGGCCGCCTGTGCTGTAGCTTAGGACCGCCTGTGCTGTAGCTTAGGGCCGCCTGTGCTATATCTTAGGACAGCCTGTGCTGTAGCTTAGGACCGCCTGTGTTGTAGCTTAGGGCCGCCTGTGCTGTAGCTTAGGGCAGCCTGTGCTGTCGCTTAAGGCAGCCTGTGTTGTAGCTTAAGGCAGCCTGTGCTGTAGCTTAGGGCAGCCTGTGTTGTAGCTTAAGGCAGCCTGTGCTGTAGCTTAGGACAGCCTGTGCATTAACCCGCTCCTGCTTACACTCAATCAAGAGCGGCTGTGCTTCAGGCCCTCGTTGGGTGACATTCTCACTGACCTTCATCCGACAGCATCGTCAGCGATAACACAGGACACGGATTGTTAAGAGCGGATGAATGATCGGCCGCCTGGCGTCATTATTTTGACTCTGCTCTGCAGACAGTGTTGGGCGCTTCCATCGAGGAACCCACGGCACGCGCTTAAGCAGTTCCACGTGTCCGGGATGCACAGCCCACATCTCCATTTCACCTTAATGGTGGCTGTCCAGCAGGGGGCGGGATTGCCTCGCACGGTAATTCCCATCAGCGCTAATCAAAAAGGCATGGCACTCAACACGCGCCTTCCTGCTCACATTGTGCTCCTCAGCAGCTTTTCACACACGTCACAAAGGTCAGAGGTCGGCCTGCGATCTGCCACAGAAGAATTGTGGGGAAGAACTCTGACACTGAAAAATATCAATAAAAGTGACCATGAAGTATGTAGCAGCTACTGGGGCTCAGAGGTCGAGCTCAAGAGGTCAAATACAGCAGGATGCTTCATGCTTTCCTACAGTAATACCCACGATGCATCATGCTTTCCTACAGTAATACCCACGATGCATCATGCTTTCCTACAGTAATACCCACGATGCATCATGTTCCTTTTAAAACATGCCTCGATTAAACGCATTAATATTGTGTGCAAGCGCACAGACCGTGGAGGGCTCACTAAAAGCACATCCGTTGAGGTTTCCGAAGTATCAATTTCCTGCAACAGTCATGCACCTACCAGACAAAAACTTGGGGTTCTGAGGTTTGCATGCTCTTCCTGTGTCTGCACAGGTCTCCTGCGGCCAGCAAAGCTTCCATCAGGTATCTCTAAATCGCACTTATGTACGTGACGTATGCGAGTATGAGTACATGTGATGCGGTGAGAAAAATCCCTTAAACATGCCTTTATGTTGCATCATGCGTGCACAGAATACCGCATGCAGCATACAGAATACAGCATACCGCATGCAGCATACAGAATACAGCAT